CCCCCGCCCTCCCTACTCCCTCCTTCTAGATGCCACTTTAGGATTTCCTCAGAAAGCCCTTGGGTGACAGCTTCCTCACCCCCAGTATAAATTGCGGATGCTCCTTGATGTATGGCGAACCATTTCCAGTAAGTCGTGATATGCTGAACATGCCAGGTAGCGGGGGAAAGGGCACTTGCTGCCTTTAACGTCGTCACTTAGCAACACAGCACGCTAGAGACCACCGGTTGTTTTCCACTTGTGACTATAGGAACTTCCTGCAAAAGAGTGCTGTGTTTATTGTGAGTCCAGGGGGAGAGGGGGACCCAGAGTTAAAAATTCAACTGTGGGGCTGGAGAGATGGCTCAGAGGTTAAGAACACTGACTGCTCTTCCAGAGGTCCTGAGTTCAGTTCCCAGCAACCACACGGTGGCTCACAACCATCTGTAATGAAATTTAGTGCCCTCTTCTGGCCTGCAGGCATACATGCAGGCAGAACACTGTATACATAATAAATAAAATCTTTATAAAAAAATTCAACTGTGGTTTCTACTGAATTCGTATTATTATTATTTTTTGTATGACCTTAAAGGTGAAACCATCAAAAGTTAGAGACTGTTTCTAGTTCCCTATTTATACATCTTCTTTGAGTGCCTTAATATTTCCCTTCATAAGAATTTGGAGCCAGGCGGTGGTGATGCACACCTTTAATCCCAGCACTCAGGAAGTCTGTGCAGAGGCAGGCAGATCTCTGTGACTTCGAGGCCAGCCTGGGCTACAGAGTGAGATACAGGACAGGCTCCAAAGCTACACAGAGAAACCCTGTCTTGAAAAACAAAACCAAACAACCAACCAAACAGAACAAAACAAAAGAATTTGGAAACTTCTTCAAATTGGGGCTGATGAGATGGTTCCGCTGGTAAAGGTGATTCACAAGCTTGATGACCTGAGTTTGGTTCCCAGAATCCACATGTTGGAAGGAAGGTACCCAGTCTTGAAAACTGTCCTGACTTAACGCAAGTGTTCACCTGTGTGTGTGTGTGTGTGTGTGTGTGTGTGTGTGTGTTAAAGTCACACATATCAATACTATATAAATATATATTTTTTATAAATGTATTAAAGTCTTTCCAAGGGGCTGGAGAGATGGCTCAACAGTTAGGAACACTGGCCACTCTTCCAGAGGATCTAGGTTCAATTCCCAACACCCACATGATAGCTTACAACCATCTGTAACTCCAGCTCCAGAGGATCCAAAGTCCTCTTCTGGCCTCATGGTACACATATGGCGCACAGAAATACATACAGGCAAACACCCATACACGTAAAATAAAATTTAAAAAGTTTTCAAGTGCAATCGTAGATTTATGAGATTGTGTAAGCAATTATATCCCCTCTGCTAAGTGAAATATGGGTGGGAACTTTGTCAGGGTCTATTGTGTACTGGTAAGTGAGCGGAGCTGGTGGTTCTGGACCAGCGGCCAGCAAGCTGCACTATTCACCCTGGAACACCGTAAAACTGCAAACTCTGAGTGGAGGCCAGGCCAACAGCTGGGGTCGGATGAGCTGCGTAGGAAAGTGTGCGGCTGCACGCTCAAGTCTGAGAACCGTCTAGAAAGCCCTACCCCACGGGTGTTTGAGCCCAGCGCGGGGTGGGCTGAGGCAGTTCTGACGGCCTTCGCGTGTGCCGTTCGGCACGCTGGCCGCTGGAGGGCAGTGTTGGCACGCCCATCGGCCCTCCTCGGCGGCGGGGCGGCGGGACAGGCCCCGGTGAGCCCTGCTGGGGGG